AAAAAAAAAAAAAAAAAAAAAAAAGCCCTACAGACATGTTTTTTATACGTTTCATGCACATAACATCCATAAGCATTTAAAGAGTAGTTAGTAATTCAGGTGATTATATCTGAGGTAGGGTTCCTTAAGTTAGTATTTAAATTACTTTTTTAGCATTCACATTTGTTCTACTGCATATATGCATGCACACATAATGCATCATTCATCAAAATCTTCACTGGCTCACTTTGGCTTTATTTGGGATTCCAAATCAGAGCATGCATAAAATTGTGCATCCAGCTGAGTTTTACCAAGCATACTCAAGTTACTATGACAAACCATGCTGGTGTTTTACGAACAGACTCCTCAGAATAACCTGTTACCTGGAGGACCTTTTATTGGTGTTTTGGGGGATTCAATATGATCCCTGTGAATAGACTTTGGCCGCTGTTTTTTCGGCTTTGCCACCTGAGGACGGGGCCGAATTACTGTATCCATGTCTTCCATGAGCTTTAGCTGTTTCCGTCTCATATATTCTTGCCTAATAAATTCTCTGCGTGCCCTCTCGTCTTCTTTCTTTTGACGTTCTTCCTCAGTTTTACGCCTAAGAAATCAATTGAATTTCTTATTCTGCATTCCAAAGACAAGTAATACTGGAGAGAGTTACATGTTGATGTGAGAAGGATGAGCTACCATATTTCAGCATCTTGGGGAAAAATGTGCTTCATTTAAAATGTACTTGAGAAAATATAGGTTGGATGGATGGATAGACAGATAATTTCCCAAAGTTACAGGGATTTTTTTTAAACACTTAATATTTTAAATTAATGTTTCTGGAGAACTTTACTTTGACATGCGAAATCAGGCAAAACTTTGAGGAAATTAACTTCTACAATGCACAAAAGTCAGCATCGGTCCAGTTCTACACATTAATAAGGATGCATGGGACCCTCCCCTCAGCATACTCCTGGCGCACTTGTCTAAATGCCCTGCACCATCAGTGCTAAGATGTGGAACCCACCCGGCCACACCCAGTACCTTGTCTCCTCCTTCTTATGCTCCATCTCAGCTTCCAGCTGCTGTTTCCGAAGCTGAGTTTCTTTCTCTCTTCTTAATCGTTTCTCCAACAATGCTGCTCGTTTCATTGCCATATCGTTTTCTGCTTTTTGATCATCCTACAAACAAATTTCATTGAAGCAGATAAAACATTTTAGGGACTAAGGCTCTCAATTTCAATTGTTGTAGTCACGTAATATGGTTACTTTCATAACTGAAAATCTGTACTGCCCACCATACCTAATGTGGACATGTTTCAGAAACTATGAAGAACTGAGTTAAAGTGTTAACAATTCTGTCAAGTAAAAAGGACACTTAAATTTAATGGGCATCAAAAGAAAAAGTTTTTTTTTTTTTGACTTCTAATAAATAACTAAGTGAGGAGTCTGCCCTCAAAAAAAAAAAAAAAAGCAACATTTAAAGTTGGATAAATAGCATTCCCAAACTAGCCACCCAATGTCACATAATATAAATGAAACTGCTACTGCTTTTTTTTTTTTTTTTTTTAAAGTTGAGGCTCTGATAGTTTGATAGGTTCAAAACTAGGTTTTCCCTTTGAAGAGAGTTAGTCAGGATATATAAGGCCTCCTGGGCCTGCCCTGGCTCTTAGGGACAACCCTAGTTTTCAGAGGACTTCTAAATGCTTCAGAATTCAGGAAAATAATAGGCTATACAAGTGGTTCATTGTCTTAACGATTCTTTGCCAATGCTTATTCCACTGGCATCCAATATAGTGCCATACACTACAGATACTAAAATAAAAAGATATGGTGCCTTAGGTCAAGGAGCTTAAAAATCATTGGGGAAGAGGTACAAATAAGGTACTTTGCACAGCCCTGTGGAAGAATTAACGGAGAATAAAGAGAGTTAGAGTTAATGGTTTGTCTAAGCAAGTTTCTATACCTAACAAACTACATACCCTACACTATGCTCTAGGGAGCAAAGATCCAGTACTGCAAGGAATTCACACTCTTAAGAGACAAAGCAAGTAAGAAGGGAAGAACTAACACCTCTGGGTCACAGGTGCTCTTATACGTATGTTCAGGACACACCCAGACACAAAGGAGGAGGTATTTAACCTCCACTTAGGAAGCACGAAAGCTTTAGATGAAACTTGAAGTTAGTGTTCTAGAACAATGTAAAACAGAAGTTACGGGAAAGGCTGGATGCATAGGTTTAGGGTAGTCTGTCAAAGTCCCTGAACGTTATACAAAAGGTGTGGCCTGTGTTCAATAAGCAATTCTTTAGACTTTTTTTTTAAAAAAAACAGAAAAAGACTCAACTGGAGCTGTGCTTTTGGGACAGTTATCAGTATGGAGAACAGAATTGCATGATTAGAGTCAGGGAGTTCACCTAAGAAGCTTTGTGTGGTGAAGAAATGGGATGAACGGAATGAAGGTTCAATGTATGGCCTGTTTTCTACTAGAGCTTTCCCCACTGTTTGCTTTCTCTGTACAGGAACAGGAAAGCTCTCTAAAACTAAACAGTAAACTTTAATACTTATTAGTGCCTGTAGTGACAGTCTATTAAAATATAGTAGGTATTAGAATATGATAGTATTCTATTAAAAATTTCACATGATTAAGAGACCAATCATGATTAAGAGACTCACATTAAATTTCTAAATATTAAAACAGGACAATCACCCTGAGATCAAATATTAAAAAATGACACATTTCCAGCATTAAATGATCAAAAGTAAAACCAGCAATGGTAATCACTTCAATGTCTTTTTTCCCCCACTACTGCTGTATGCTTCAATTTAAAATCTCAAATTAGTACATTGTTGCTGTTGGGTGCTGTCTTTTCTACTTATATTCTAAAATGTGGTGCTGTACAGGATTAGGGTCTATATTAATCCCTTTATTTCAAAAAAGAAATGAATAACACGCATGCTTCCAACTATTGAAAAACATACTCTTTCATAGAATAAATGTGGAAAATTTAGAAAAATAAAAGTGGGTAATATTATTAAGGCTTTTCTACCTTTTCTTTATCTAAGATAATTTCTAAGTATCACCATCAAGAGGTAATAGATACTGTAGTTAAACGCCAGTAGTTCATGCCTGTAATCCTAGCTACTTGGGAGGCAGAGATTGGGAGGATCAAAGTTTGATGCTAGCACAGGCAAACAGTTTGAGACCGTGTCCAAAATAACCAGAGCAAAATGGACTGGAGGTGTGGCTCAAGTGGTAGAGTGCCTGCTTTGCAAGAGTAAAGCCCCGAGTTCAAACCCCAGTCCCACTTAAAAAAAAAAATGAAGTGATACTGCTCAGTAATTGTTGCACCCAATATCAACACTAACCACTATCAACATTAATATTTCAAATTCTGGAGCTATACGGGATTAGGGATTATCTGTTATAGTCCTCAATTTAAAAATATGAATAACACGCATTTCTGATTATAGAAAAACAGTGCTTTGCTACTTGAAATATAAACAAGTAAGACAATACTCAACAGGTCATGTACTAGACCTTTATCATGCTTTTAAAGAAGCTATTTCATGGGATGAGGGTATAACTCAGTGGTAACGCACCTGCCTAGCATGTGTGGGGCTCTGTGTTTAACCCCCCTAATAAAACAATCAAAAACAATGAAAAGGAACTATTTCAAGTAATAACTGTCCAAACTATATACGCTTTTAAAAGTTGTCACCTTGCAAGATCCTATCTGGTCAGTTTTTAAAAGAAAACCTGTAAGGAAAGATAGTTGCAATTTTAAGAAACCTTAACATATACTTAGATACAATGACAAATTATGAGCTTTTCAGCAACTGGCAATGGAATTAATCACTCTTTGAAGAGATTTGAGTAACTTAATTTTGTTGGTTTTTGAGACAGGGTCTCACTGTGTAGCCCAGGCTGGTCTCGAACTTGTGATCCCCCTGCCTCAGCCCCCTGAGTGCTGGGATTATAGCTGTGTACCACCATGCCCAGCTTGAATAGCTTAAGTTTAAAAAGGCTTTTGTGAAGGTGAAAAAGAGAGGCAGAGGAGCTAAAACAGGCAATACAATTAACCATATGCCATGACTGTGATGAAAAGATTACAGTTTTGGATTGATATTGGAATAATGTTTGAGCACTGTGCTTGAATATTGCTAATATAGTCCACCAAGGCGGAGGGAGCCACAAATATGTTTTAGGAATAGCAGACTTGTAACAAAAGGGATTGCTACTAAAGAAGTGAGCATGTCAAAACAAACAAGAAACACACACATACAGCTGTCTAATGAAGACACCCAAACTGTGCAAACTGATGTTACCTTAAAGAAGAATCCACAGCATACTTTCTGGTCATCATCAAACTGTTCCTTATCACTTTCTCCATCATATTTTTCAATAGATACATCGGCCTTTTCAGGGGGTTTCAAATCTGACAGGGAAACTTCAATCAGGTTAACATTTTTAGGAGCAGTAGGTGGGAACATGGGTTTAGGAGGTGGTTCTGTGGGTTTACTCAATTGGTCCTCATTTGGTGTCAGACATACAGTTTCTGTGACAGGCTGTGTCAGGACTTCAGACACTGTTGATTCAAGAGGTCTGATCTCTTTTTCTTCAGGATTATGTTCATCTGGCTCCAAGGTCCCTTTGCATTCCAACTCCTCCTTTTTAGCCTCCTCCTTAGGTCTGGATTCCTTTAACTGTGGCTCTCCATCATCCCCAAAACATACAAAAGACCGAGTCTGAATGGGAACTTGACTTGGTGAAAACCTCCTTAGCCTAGGAAGACTATCTACAGATCGAGGGGGTGTCAAGGTTCGATTCAAAGGTGTTATTTTTAACTCATTTGGCCTAGGAGTCCTTTGATTTTTAACAGAGAAAGATGTACTCTTCCTGTTAGAAGACTGTGGAGACGGGTGAGTAGGACGAGGGGAGTCTGATGAGAATGGTGCAATGGTTGATGACTGGCCTGCCTGCCTAGGTTTAAAATCTCGAATCTGTTTCTGTGGAGAGGGTTGTGGAGGCGAAATCACCCAAGATTGTTGCTCTCTCATCTGCATTAGCATCTCCTGCTGAAGAGACAAGCGTTGCATTTCTTGCTGTAGAAAATGCAGGGATGAATTTAACTTTTCAATGGATTTTGTATATTCTAAAATATCCCCTTCATTTAAAGTCTCTTCTGAGGGGCTTGCCAGATTCCACTGCTTCTCAGGATCAACAGGGGTAGTGGGAGACTTGAGCCACTTGGCTGGAGGATTCTCCATACTCTCTTTTATATCTGCCAGGGACTTGCTTCTTTGCCCGTCAGTTTTTTGTGATTCTTTTTCTTTTGCTCTATCAGTATAAACCTTCTCATCTTCTGCACCAGCCGCTTCCTCTCGGAGAGGGGAAATCCCATCCCCCCTTTTTTTCACCACAGTAAGGAATGCTGTCCTACCCATTTTCTGCCTCTGTTTAGTAAAAGCAGCTTCCATTTTCTTTTTCTGGGCTTCTATAGCACGCCTCTTTTCTTCTAGTTTCATCCTGAGATGCACCATTTCAGAAGCCAACAGCTGTGTTGTGTCCCGTCCTGGTGGAAGGCCTGCTTCTTCTGGAATTTGTGCCCAAGCAACCACATGAGGAATATTAAGTTCAGAGCCCTCTGGCGTCGTTTTTTGAGAACTGCTTCCACTACTCTTTCCATCAGTATGATTCAGTTTCCTGAACTTCTGTTCAGCAAAGCTGGTCATTTTAACTCCAGAACTAGAAGAAGCACTGCTCCCTGGTTGAGACTTGGTACTTATGGTACTTGGACAAGGGCTCAAAGGTTCTCTGGGGTTGCTGGTTCTTATATCATAGTCTTGAAGAAATTTAGATGCATCATCCATGTCAGAGTCTAAGCTGACCGTATAATCTCTCAAAGAAGAGTCTTCATCCATAGTTTCAGGAATGTCTTCTGAAGGAACGTGAATTCCAGTGTCTACCTCTGTAGTGTCAGTTATGGGACTCAAGGCACCTTTTGTGTCACTTATGTTATCAGGACTAGACTGATTTAGCTTGAGATTTGAATTTAGGATACTCATATCCTGGCTATGAAGAAAGAAGCCATTAGCAATTTTGTCTGGCCGAGGTGTACGGGGAGATTTTTCTGTATCATGAATTATTTGTAATGCTTCTTCAATGCTTGGTGTCTCAATCTGATTGCCAAACTCATCCAGGAGTGCTCTATTTTGTAAAGCTCCATTTGGAAGCTTATAATGCACATTCTCATTAGAATTTAGTTCATCTGTGTTAGGGGGCATGTAAGATTTGAGGTCGCTGTGAGGGTCTGTATTAAGTTCTTCTTCAATGCTTTCTTCTTCTTCTTCTTCTTCTCCATTCATGGGCTTGAAGGACAGATTTTTCCTAGTGTGTTTAGATACACGATTGTTGTTCAGAGTAAGTCCTTCATTACTAATAGAACGAGTGATTCCTCGGTTTGGAGTGGATCTCTGCACACTATCTTCTTTATCAAAAGAAATATCAAATGAAACACCATGTACGGATGATCTGGAAAAAATTTTAAAAATCCTTAAGTAATCCCAGAAAATAGATGATTTTTAAAATATCAATGAACAACAGCTATTTGGAGTATATGTCCTTTCTTTCCCCATTTATTAAAATCATACTGTCCTCAAAGTAAGATTATGACTTTTTAGCTACCTTTTAAATTTAGCCCGTTTGACCTCTCTACCATCTAACTGCCTATTGTGCCCTTTTAAAATTTACATACTAATTAAGTGGAGATTTGGCAACCTAGCTAACAACAAAGGAAATGACAAAATTGTCATTTCCTGTTAAGTGAATATACTAAGAATAATTCTCTTTGTTTACCTTTTTTCTTTGGGCCATGTTCCTATGAAGCCATCAACATAAGACATGGATGAAGACCTTCTAATTCCTCCTTTAAACAGAAAAAAGGCTACTGAAATCATGTAAAAAATTTTAAACTTAACAGATTTCACATATTTGAGGATTCATTCATAACACTAAAAAGTAAGTAGGAACCCCAGCAGATCTGCCCCTCCTCCAAAAAAAAGCTTAGGCCTTGGGTTCAATACCCCTCCCCCACCAAAAAAGTAAGTAGATACATGTGGAGATTTTCATTTTACTATGAAAATCAAAAGCTGGGTGCAATAGTACACTCTTTTAATCCCAGCACTTGGGAGGCTGAGAAAGGAAGGTTGTGAGTTCAAAGTCAGCTTGGGCTACATATCAAGACCCTGTCTAAAAAAAAAACCAAACAAAAGCAAAACAAACAAACAAACAAACAAAGACAATAAAAGCAAGCAAGCATGGGGCTGGGGATGCAGCTCAGTAGTAGGGGGCTTGCTGAGCATGTGATATGCAAGGTCATGGGTTTGATTCTAGAACCAGACAAAAGGAGGAATGAAAAGCAAACATAAAAACAGAACAGCCTTTTGTTGTATATATAATAGCCTCTTTTCAGAAAGAAGTCTAGGTATTTGTTTATACTTATTTTCAATTATTTGCCAGGTAGCTTACCTATGACAGGCTTTTTCAAATACATTACCTGAGGCTGAAGAATGAGCTTGGGGACGTGAATATCTAGAAGGCAAATGATGGGACTGTGTGAATGCTGCTCCTTCCCCACTGCAATATAGAATACATTAAAAATGTTACATTGTAGCTCTTCAATAAACGTTACATAGAATGGCTGCAATAGAAATATACTATCACTTCTGATTTTATATCCTAAATTAAAAAAAATTATTGTTCAAATCAAACAATAGCTATGATTATAATATAACCTATATATATTTAATGCCTTCTAACCAAACAATTTGAAGTTCTTTCATATACCTCTCAATAAGATATATCATATTGTTTTCATTTTACCAAAAGAAAGACTGAGAAATAAAAAAGATGTTAAATGAAACTCAACAACTGAAAATATTTTGGTCAAATCTAAATCTCTAAAAACTAAAGGTCCAACAAACCCTTGAAAAAGACCCTGACAGACTTGCTCCTCACGGGCCTGTGCCTGCTCATCTCCAACAGGTAGTAAGACCATGGGTTGCATGGTCTTCTGTTACTGCTCCTTACTGAACTCTATCTACCCCATTCCACTTAATGCAAGGGATGAGACAGTCTCCTTCTCAAGTTAAAATGACATTTAGCCAGGTCAGACTACCCTCTCTTAAATTTTTCTCTTTGTAAGTTTTAAACTGCACGTCCTTCCTTGCTAAGTGAAGAAGTTTAAGCACCCCACCCTCATCAGTTGAAAATGAATTGGGGAACAAGATGTTGTGACTTCTGTAGCTTGTTCAAACAGTACTATTTTTCAGATAATGCAAACTGGGAACATGAACAAGTCAGACAAATAATTCAAAAGCTTTTTTAATGAAAGCTTAATTAATGAGCTTTTCCCAAAAGCAACAATACCTAAAGAACCTACTCTGTCCAAATCAAGTGCTTTGTCTGCTTCTGTGGACCTTCCTCCTTATAACCGCATACCATACTTTCTCTCAAGTTTTATTTGTAGTCATTTTTAGGACTGTCAGAGAGTGTTTTTTTATATATCCCTCCCTCTAAAGTCACTTCTATAGTGTCTCCTCTCCTTTAGCTCTGTAATTCTGAATATATTTACTCTTTTCTTCTTCCCCAAATGGTTCAAGTGATGTAAAAGCTTCACTTTCACATGTGCACAGAGTATTCTGATATTGTGTAAGTCTTGAGTAAGCAGGGAGCCAGTTGTGGAGTACCTGCTGGCAATGTGTTTTGCTCTGCCTGTCTTTTGTTCTTTGTTTAGGTACAATAACACTTGTACATGTGACTACATTATTTCTAAGAGTAGCAGAAATTATTGAATAAATCCCTCCTCAAGACTTCTACAATGCTAGAGAAAAACAAGGGAGCATGTGGACACTTAGAAGTGAGAGGATGACTAGGAGCCTAGAATGTCACACAGTTAACTCTTCAAGGAAAAGGATTTAAATACTGGGTTATAAAAAAGGGTTTCTGCTGGGAAAAAGTAGCCACTCAGGTGTCCAAGATAAAAAAAAAAGTCCACCAAATGAATCTAAATCAAAACATTTTCTAGGGTCAAAAATGTGGAAGATTGCTCTATCAGGTTCCTAGAAATCATAATTATGGAATAATCTACTCTCAAAAGTCTCACTTTTTTTCTTTGAACTCAGGGCCTCATGCTTGCTAGGCATGTGCTCTACCACTTCAGCCACTTAAAGTAGAATTTAAAGATTTAATAGTGTGAGAGTGATGACCTCAAATACTGAGCATTTTCTAAATTTTCAAGGAAAGAAACGTCATTATGTAGCCAACAAGGACATAATATTTAGAGAAAGTTTCCCATGGGGAAAAAATACAAAGAAGCTCCTAGATCAGCAATATTTTAACTCTTTTATACTAAACTGCAGAGACAGTTATGGAATAGGTAGATGGAATAGATGGTAGAAGTCCTACAAAGGAAGTAAGAGCATTACAAGAGTTCAGTAAGCCTTGGCTTTCACATTCATTAGCCTACGTTTAATGTGAGTGGATGGCGCTTCAGAATAAATCTTAATGTTTTTAATAGCCAAGAATCCATACAGAAATTACTTTGAACTTTTTGCTCAAAATTTAAAAATGTATTTTTAATAGATCTGCTTGAATTTCTAAAAACCCACAAAGCATCAGTTTTAAACACAAATATCAGGTAGACTAGGGAGTCTAAAGTCAATATAAATTTCAGATTCTAATAAATACAAAAGAAAACCTGTTTACCATATCTACTGAAAACATCTTCAAACAAACTAATAACCTTACCATATACTTGGCTGAGTAGCAGAGTTATCCTGATATTAAACAGCAGGACATTTTTACTTTGCTCTCAGTTTAGTTCCTGATCTTAAGGCTTATACCATTAAAGATTCAATATTACAATTACCCTATGGCTATCTCTCAATATTTACAGTAAATAGAAAACAGAACAGTAGGAAAAACTACTTCAAAGATTTTTTTAAAAATCATTAAAAAAAATTAGGCCAGGTGTAGTGGCTTAAGCCTGTGATCCTAGCTACTTAGGGAGCAGAGATGAGGAGGACTGCAGTTTGAGGCCAGCCCAGGTAAAAAGTTTGTGATACCCCATCTCAACCAATGGTTGGGCACAGTGGTGTGTACCTGTCATTCCCAGCTATGCAGGGAAGCATAAATAGGAGAATCACAGTCCAGGCTGGCGTCAGCATAAAGCAAGACCCTATCTCAAAAATAAAGAAAAAGAGCTGGCAGCAAGGCTTAAGTGATAAGAGTGGGTGCCTAGCAAGTTTGAGGTCCTAAGTAACTGAAAAAAAAGTATCACAAAAAAAATTAAAAATACAAATATAACTTAAAAGTTTCCCTAAAAGGCTTAAGAGCCACCTGTTTGATAGTTCTCAGCTATATATTAGAAAATTATCAATTATAATAAGTTATTTAGCAAAAGTTTGATTTTGAGTATTTTTTGGACCTTAGAATCTATTTTACTTTTTGGTGTTATTCATTAAAAACCTACTTATGAAACATTCATTTCAGTGTAAATTTTAAAGGCTTTAATAAGTAAGTGAATTATAATCTAAAATCCAACTAAAAATGTAACAATTGTTACATTAAATTAAACAATTGTTTAATTGCATTAGTAGATAGAATGGAAATAAGTGAAGTCATTGTGGAATCTACCTTGAAGTGTAGTCAGAGCTGGATGAATGATCCAAGAGGTTTCTTTTGGCAGCATTCAAGACAGGAATTGATGGCATATCTTTCACAGGTTCCGCTAGAATAAAAGAGAAAACCTCAAAATTACATGTTCAGCAGATTTCTAATATTATTTCAGGAATTCTGGGCCACAAATAAATTCTTGAAATTTTATCTCTATTTAAAATGCGCAGAGAAATCAGAATATACACAGCCTTTGCTTCACTTTTTTCATAGTGCTGGGGATCAAACCCAGGGCCTTGCACACACCCAGCCCTGTTTTCTTTTTAAATAGTTTCTTCTTACGTAAGGTTGCTCCTCCTTTTCTCTTTTTTTTTTTTTTTCAGGGGTGGGGGGAAGGAGGTGAGGGTGCACCAGGGTCTCACTATGTAACCCAAGCTGGCCTTGAACCAATGATCCTTCTGATTCAACCTCTCAAAAGGTTGGGGTTACAGGTGTGTTTCATTATACCTAGCAAGTTTTCTTCTTAAATAATTTTCAAAGGGTCAAATTTTCTTTAAATTCTTCTTGATGTACTCTGACATTTAAAAATTTACTTGGCTGAAGCTAACTGGAAAGGGGTTACCATAAAATGTGGGTATTTAAAATAAAGATAAATTTGAGTGCTTTATTTTGTGAAAGTTTTCATAGAATTTCAGATACATATGGCCATCTTTGCTTTCTGTGCAACAGCTGGTATTTGTAATCAATTAAAGGTACACAGGATTTCACTGGAAAATAATTAAACCTACCAGAGCAGCTACATTTTTGTAAGTAATTCTGGGGGAAAACAGTTTACTTTTGATTTTGACATTTAATGTAACAGCTGTTGTATTTTGAGTAGTGGGCTTCATAGATGTAATCACAAAAAGCAATACACATGAAAATTCATGTAAAAATTGTACAAATATTGGTTATAAAAATTAATAAAGGTATGCGATCTTCCTTAATGGCCTTAGTGAAGGCTATTAATCTTTTAAAAAGTTTTCCTGGTTATTTAGTGGCTCAGTATTCAGAATCTGCTTTAAATAGCCTAGAGACACTAAGACCAAATACTCATTGGCATATTTCACAGAATTCTGCCAGAAATGCAGTGGGTTGCCTCAAGTAAGGCGATTATATCCACAATAATGATGTGCCTTCCCCTTGGCTAGTATTTTTCCTTTCTTGTCTCTTTCCTTTTTTTACTTTTTTGGGAGGCGGAGGCAATGAGAGTGATTAGAAAAATTTAGAGCCAAGAAGAGTTACTGAGTAGTTACACAAAACAGTAATCATGTTTTGTGTTGGATTGGGGGAACCACTAGTAGCAGAAAAGAAGTAGTCCCATAATTTTTGCTCTAAGAAAGGTCATTTAGGAGGGTCTAAACTTATAATTTAGAATAATTTTCCCTGTAGAAATAAACCTCTGGTTTTATAATGAAATCCAATAAAAATTTATTTTGCTATGTTAAATTTTGCTTTAGAGAAGTTTCAGGAAGAATCCTTACTTTTTTTTTGGTTTTTTATTGGGAGTACTAGGGTTTGAACTCAGAGCCTCATGCTTGCTAGGTAGGTTGCTGTACCACTTAAGCCAGTCCACCAGTCCTGTTTTGTGTTGGGTATTTTTGAGATAGGATTGAGAACTATTTGCCCAGGCTGTCTTTGAACCTTGATCCTCCTGATTTCTGCCTTTTTTTGTGTGTGTGTGTGTATGTGGAACTGGGGCTTGAACTCAGAGCTTTCACCTTGAGCCACTCCACCAGACCTTTTCTGTGATGGGTATTTTCAAGATATGGTCTTGTGAACTATTTTCCTGGGCTAGCTTTGAACCATAGCCTCCTGACCTCTGCCTCCTGAGTAGCTAGGATTATAGGTGTGAGCCACCAGTACCTGGCAGAATTTTATTCTTATTCCTAGGGATCTTTGCAGTACCTTCCTTATTTTGTATTAGTTTGTTCTTATTATATATAACCAATACATCATAATATTGTAATAATATCGATGCCTACTGGGTTAAAAATATATATGCAAATCTTATGGTTTAATAATAAATTCAAGTTGTAGGTTAAGGCCAAGTCATAATGTGAGAGGATTCTGGATAACACAATGTTCTTAAAAAAAAAAAAAAAAAAGACTGAAATAGGAAATAAAAGCTAGGGATAGGAGTAAAAGATGCAAAGAGAAGTAAATGGCACACATTTGAAGCTAAAAGTTCCAGATCATAAGACTTCAAATTCAGAGCCATTCATGCCTTTTCTTTACTTCTCTCTTAACCATATTGATCATGTTTCTTATGATCGGTGGCTTTAATATCACAGTACTTACAATCAAGGCTAACAGCTGAAATCTAAAACAACAGGCTTCCTTCTAAAAAATTTACCAGGTGAGGTTATGTGAACTTCCCATTTTTCTACATGAAAACGTGAAAGGACTGATTACCTCCATGTGGATGAACAGTACGGGGCTGGACAAATGATGGTTTCACCACTTCAAACCACCAGAAGAGTTCCGCCATGAACACCAAATAATTACTCTGCAGAAGAAAAGTGAGGAAAATTAAAAGAAACCCTAAACTAGGTAAAACCTGATGTAACATTAATGATGAATAGAATTATACTGTTTTTATCTATTCAAACACAGGTATAAATACCATTCATTCACTTTTAGAGAATACCTACTGTAGTCCATTAAAATTGGAATAAAATGTTAGCTTTTGTGGGTAAAAATTATAAATATTCAAAATCTCTTTTGTGATTTGCTCTGTAGTTCCATAATGGTGATTTAATCTAGCAGACATTAATGTCTCTAGCTGTACAGAACTTTTGAGATAACATGTAAAGCAATTTTCTTCCAAAGTGAATACAAACAACTTAAGCAGATATCCAGCTGTTTGATATTCTGAAGAACAGTTATCATTTTAAAAAAATTAAGCTCTACTCAATTTCAATTTCAATTTCTCTGAAAAATAACTAGGCATGTAATTAAAAACATTTTATCTACATGCTCAGCAATTCAGGGTTAGGCATGGTGGTGCATGCCTATAATTCCAGCACTTGGGATGCAGAACCAAGAGGGCTACAAGTTCTAGGCCAACTTGGGCTATAGATCAATGCCCTGTCTCAAAACACAAAACAAAACACCAGTAAATCAGGTACTAAATGACATCAAAATTCCAGATTGTTATGGCTAAAATAACTTTGAAATGTACAAAAATATTGATTGTATAATTTAGCAGATTCATTAGGTTACAATGCACCCCCAATACATTAATTAAAAAAAAAAACACACCCACTCAGTTTTGCAAAGTTATTGGTAAGGATAAGTCAACAACTTTTTATCATTTATACTTGAAGACACAATTTGTAACTCTCTTAAAACTGAGAGTCCTCAAAAGCATGTTTCTACTATAAGCTTAGATATTTTTATTTTTGGTTTTTTGAGACAGAGTCTTGCTATGTATCCCCAGCTGCCCATGAACTCGAGATCCTCCTGCTTCAGTCTCCTAAATGCTGGGATTATAGGTATGTACCACCACATCTGGCTTAAGTGTGTATTTTAAAAGGCATATATCATTAAAGCTGTATACATGAATAATTATTTTAATTTTAGTATTTGGCAAATTTCAAAAAATAGCACTGTACAAAATCTGTGTTTCTAACTACTTAAAATATCGTGTCTTTTAAACTTTGTGTATTTGGCTCTAATAAAATAGTTACCACCAAACTTATTAGGATTTGATGAGTATGGTCTTATTTGACATTAAAATGTCTTGCCTTCTTCTTCCTATCTGCTGAATTTGAATATTCCCCAAGGTGCTACATTCTCCCTTAGGTTTCATATACTCTCTTGATTTTAGTTCACGTATTTAACCTGGCAACTTATAAATATTCATTTCTCATCTGATAGTTCCAAAAGGCTTGGTGTATATAGGAAGAAATGAAAGAGAAGAATCAAGGGTGACTCTTAGGTTTTTGTTTTCAACAACTTATACTACCATTTAATAAAATGGAGAAGACTGGGAGAAGCAGGTAGTGAGAGGAATTATGAGTTATTACCTCTGAGATGATCAGATATTTAAGAGGACTTGCTGTGTCAGTGGTTAACTGTAACAGGCTGGTGTGTCATGAAGGATAGTACACGGTAAACAGATTTTGGTAGATTTCCTACTTTACTCTTAGTATTTGTTTTCACCGTAAATTTCTAGAATATTCAAATGCTTATATATAAACACCTATTTGAAGAAGCCATTAAAGTTGTGACTTTCTTTAAAACATGGTAATGTTTGCAACTCACCAGACCACAGTGGATCTCATCCCTGCTTGCCTTCTCAGGAACCTCACACTCTTTGTATTTCTTTCTCCTGTGTATTTGTCCTGCCTCTTAACTGAATCTTTCCTACATGTTCAAATATCTCCCATTAACCAACAAAAGGAAACTTTAATCATTTTCCCATTTCTATTCACCCCACCTTCTTATTGTCTGACATACTTCTTAAAGAGCAGGCCTATACTAACACTCTTCATTCCATCCCTTCCTACTGCTTGATCCATTCCAGTCTGGCACTGAACCACATTATTTCTCCAAAACCTACATGTTCAAGTCACCAGTGACTTACATGCTAAATCAAACAGATTTTTCATCTTATTTGCCCTCTCATAGGCATTTGATATTCTTGCTCTCTCCCCTCTTTGAAATGACTCTCAAATATACTGACCACACCTGCATATAAAATAGCCTACAGGGCATTTTCTTTTCACTATCTCAAAGGCACTAAATGTCCAAAATTGAAATAGTGATCTTCTCTATAAATCTGATCTTATTCCGGTCCTATCTCATTGAAAAGCACCATCATTCCAGTGCGCAAACCAGAAATTTATAAGCCTTCCTTCTCTCTCCCTCCCTCTATCTAACTTGTCACCAAAGCCTGTAGATTCTGCATTCAAAAGATTTCTGAAATTAATCCATTTCTGTCTTCATCATAACAGCTATGATTCAAACCTTTTGTCTCTTGTTTGGAACACGATAGTTTTTATTTTCAACTTAAGAACAAACTTGTCAAAATGCAACTCTCACTCTTCCCTTTTCCATTGCCTTTTTTTTTTTTGGCTTAAACAATAGAAATACATTGCTTAATAGTTTCAGAGGTTAGCCTCTTATAAGCTACTTGATTGCTTTTTTTTCCTTTCCTCAAATCTATGCAGTTTTATACAACACCATATTCTCCCCCATTTCTCTTCTTACCCACTAGACACGAGGCCTAGAAAGACAAAGCTTGTGCTTCTCATTCTATGTTCAGTTGTTTAAACAGTACCCAGAACACAGCAGATAATATTTATTGAATAAATGTATAAATGAATGAATCTATGTATAACAAAAAGACCAGCCAGCAAAACATCCAAAAATTGATAGGGGTATCCCTGGGTTGGAGGGTTCATCTTGATTATCAACTTCATTGGATTGAGATTAGTAAAGCACAGCTTTTTGGGTGTGTCTGAGAAGATGTTTCCAGAGAAAGGGGGAAGACCCACCCTCGATGTGGGTGGTACCATCCAATAGGCTGGCAACCCAGAGCATAACAGGAGGAGGAGGAAGCCCTCTAGCGCAGGCACTCTCTTTGATCCCTGTCTGCCATCAGTGAGCAGCACTGTTCCACCGTCCCCTTCTGTCACGATGCTCTGGCTCACTACCAGTCTACAAACACTAGAGTCAGCTGACCATGGACCAATCCTGTAAAACTGTGAGCAAAATAAATCATTCCTCCTTTAAGTTGCTTTTCTCAGGTATTTATCACAGCAACAAAAAAAGTGAACACACCTGGGTAGTAAGCTTACTGTGACTCATTTTTTCTTATCTTTATAGTATACTTTCTAAAGCCAAAGGGCATAATTACTTTGGAAGTGTTGGTGTAGCGTTCCACTCCACTGGTATAGTTAACTGAAAGCTGATTATCTTTTGGAAGAACACTGCTTAAGTGTTCAAAAATTGTCTGTTGATAGGAAAGGAATATTTCAAGGACCTTGGTAACTGTCCTAACAATGTAATTGTACTGTATGAACATTAGATGGCAGTAAAGCTCATGAAATTATGATGACTAATGACAGTCATCTTTCACTATATTCCAGGAATGATAACACATTAATTTAATTTAAAATCTTCTTTTCTTCTTTACATTAAGGAAAATATACTATGGCTACATATTTACACAGAATAAACAATACAGAATATGATAATATAGGATAGACACACCTTCCCCCATATCCTAATACTACACTCAAAAGAAATCATTGTTGTTTTGTGTGTATCTTCTACAAACCTTTTTCTGTCATTTACATACAATGTTCCATCAGTATCCACCAGAGGGGTCAGTTCCACAACCCTCCATGGATACCAAAGTCGGTGGATGTTCAAGTCCCTTATGTAAAATGGTATAGTATTTGCATGTAACCTATGCACGTCCTACCTCTGCCTCCACTAGATTTTATAATACCTAATATGATGTAAATGCTATATAAACAATTATTATACTGAACTGTTTAGGGAATAATGACGAAAAAGCCTGTACATGTTCAGTATAAATGTAACTTTTTTCTGAATACTTTTAATCTGTAGTTCTCTGCAGATTCAGAGGGTCTACTACATGTGTACATGTTTTCATTTGAGGGCTGGCAGGTGACTTAGTGGTCCTGAGTTCAATCCCCAGCACTGAAAAAAAAAAAAAAAAAAAAAAGATTTCTAAACTACATAAATTGCTGCTTTCTTCACTTAATGTCTTGGAGAGCTTTGTCAGTATAAATACCTCTCCCTCCTTCCTTTAAATAGCTCAATTATATTACAAAACACATCTTAACTTATGCTCCTAAGATGGATGCATCATCACAGGAAGAAGGCAGTCAGCTATACACCAGGGAGCATGTCCTAGAACACATCCTTCTCTCACAGCCCTCAGAAGGACTCAACCCTGCCAAACCTTGACTTTCCACTTCTAACTTCTGGTGCTGTTAAACAAAAAATTTCTATTGTTTAAGCCAAAAAAAAAGGGAACATTTCCAACTTTTCACTACCACGAACAATCTTTATACATGCCTTCTGTGGATTTTTTGTTGTTGTTATTGTTTGTTTGCAGTGCTCTGTATTAATTCAGGGACTATAGTTCTCTGTGATAAATTATTAAATCTGATTAATGTCAAACTGTCCTCTAAAATGACCATACCAGATTATATTTTACTATAGGGGAAAGCAGTGCTCACTTACTGTGCCTTCAGAAACATCTGTTATGAAAGTTAAAGTGAAAAGGAGGTGCCCAGCATCATGAACAAAGGAACCTCTCAGTGGTTTATAGTCTAAAATAGCCTACTGAATTTAAAGCTGTGGTTCCAATAATTTAGTAAACAATATAGAAAGTGACCAAAGCCTCTTCTGTAGATAATTATCTATTTTTATATACCAGTTTTTAATAAAGTGTATTTATATTTGATCTAAGTATCAGGACTATGTAACATTTATTGAAAGTCCAAGGTACACCAACTTAAATATAACTCTCATGTTTCAATGTATTTAGTAAAATAATTTTTCCTTTGAGATTACAGTAATATTTATATTTTTAATAGCAAGTCCCAGGAAAATGATTAGCAAGATATATATGGAAATAATGTTGCCTAACTTCCAATTTGATAAGAAAAGGCAAAGTGTAAATCTTAAAAATTAATCAAAGATTTTCTTTTGATGTTAGTAGGGAGTAGATACTCTTTTGGATCACTAGGAGTAGTGCTTATTTCAGAGATGCTTTTATTATTGGTTCTACTACTTCTGCCCTTTGTTAATTCTGAAATGAGCAAAGGAAAAAGAAGTTGATAGCAGTGAGTAAGAATTTAAAGCAAAAGGCACTAGTACACTGAGAGGGCTGATTAACAATGTCAATTAAGGGTGGCACTGGAACTCTGATTAGTACTGATATAAAGTCAAACTTTTAAATTAAATCTATTATCAGATCATTTATTCCTAAAGCCTTTCAGTAGAAGTAGCAAACTTTCGGTAGGAATATAAGCAATAGGAAAGAATGTTACAGCTGTGGGCCACTGGAAAAACAAAGTATTGTTTTACCACATGACATTTTGGATCAATAAGCTGCTTTTTACCTTGGAGCTCAGAAAGGGTTCTGCTGGAAATAGGCATGTCTGGATGGATTCACTGCTAAATTTTAGCAGACTTTGAAGAAAAACTAATGTTTTTCTAACTATTCCACAGAACAGAAAGAGAAGAAACCCTTCCAAATTCATTCTATGAAGCCAGACTTTCCCTGCTTCCAAAACCTGGTAAAGATACAACAACAACAACAACAACAACAACAAAGAAAAAAATAAAAAAAGAGGAAAGAAAGAAAACTAGACCAGTAACCCTGATGAATATAGATGTAACACTCTCAATAAAATGCTTACAAATCAAATTCAACAGCATATTAAAGATGACATATCATGATCAAGTTGGCTTCATTCCAGACAGGCAAGGATAGTTTAATATATACAAATCAAAAAAATGTAACACAATACACAAAAATAGAATTAAAGATACACAATAATCTCAATAGATGCTGAAAAAGCCTTTAATAAAATTCAACATCCCTTTATGATAAATGTCCAGAAGAAACTAGGTACAGAAGGATCATACTTTAACACAATAAAGTCTCTCTCTCTCTCTCTCTCTCTCTCTATATATATATATATATATATGACATACTTTAACACAATAAAGTCTCTATATATGTATATGACAAACTAGGCAGTATCACACTGAATGGGGAAAAACTGAAAGTATTTCCTACAAGACCAATAACAAGACAAGGGTACTAGAAACTTTAGCCAGAGCAATCAAACAAGAAAAAGAATACAAATAGAAAGGAGGAATTCAAATTATCTTTGTTTGCTGATGATATGATTCTATAATTAGAAAATCCTAGACTCTACCAAAAGACTCTCAGAACTGACAAACAGATTCAGCAAAGTGGCAGAATACAAATAAAAATCAGTAGCTTTTTCTATAAAGTAATAGTGAACTTACTGAGAAAGAAATCAGGAAAGCAATCCCATTCACAAAAGCTTTAAAACAATATAAAGTATCTAGGAATAAACCTAAAAAGACAAAATTATCTCTACAAGGAAAATTACAAAACACTGAAGAAGGAAATAGAAGACAACACTGAAAGATGGAAAGACCTCCATGTTCCTGATCAACAGAACTGATATTGTGAAAATGTCTATATCACTGAAAGTGATCTATAGATTCAGTGCCATCCCCATAAAAATCCCAATGACATCCTTCAGAGAGCAGCACAAATAATCCAATAAAAATGGGCAAATAATATGAACAGAGACTTCTCAAAAGAAGTACAAACAGCTAATAAATATATGAAAAAATGCTCAATACAGGGAAGTGCAAATCAAAAATGCATTGAGATACTATTTCACCCCAGTCAGAATGGCTATTATCAAAAACCCAAAAATAACACATGCTGGGAAGGACCTAGAGAAATAGGAACTCTTATACATTATTAGTGGAAATGTAAATTAGTACCACCATAGAAAACAGTAAGGAGGTTCTTCAAAAAACTAGAAATAGAACTATATATATATCCAGATATAGCACTCCTGGATATGTATCCAAAGGAACTGAACTCAGCATGCAAAGGAGACAACACCATGCCCATGCTTATTGCATTATTCACAACAGTCAAGTTATGGAATCAGCCTAGGTGCCATCAACAGACGAATGGATAAAGAAATTATGGTATAGATACACAATGAGTTATTACTGAAGTCATAAAGAAGAATGAAATTGCTGAGTATGTAACTCAGTGGTAGAGGGCTTGCCTAGCATGTGCAAGGCTTTTGGTTGAATTTCCAGGATTGCTAAGACAAAAACAAAGGCCAGGAAGAATGGAATCATGTCATTTACAGGAACATGGGTAGAACCGGAGGACATCATGTAAAGCTAAATAAGTCAGACACAGAAAGACCTGAAAGTTGAAGAGCAACTACCTGGACAGAGGAAGAACAGGCAAAAGGGAATGTGGCCATGATCAAAGCACAAGATACAAATATGCAAACATTGCAGTGAAGCCCATCAATTTGTGTAAATATGTTAGTGATTATAATAACAGGGATCCACTTGTGATTGTTGTCTTTAACACCAATGTGAGTAAAATATATTCTACTTGCAACTAAGGAAATGATACTAATTTAAATGAAATTTAAAGGAAACACTAATTTTCAAATGACAATAAAGGTGACAAATTAACTAAAGAAAAATTACACTTGACCTAGTGAAAATAAGCAAATAAGTGAATAAAAAAATAAGTGAAAATTTCAATTTCAGGCTCACAGACTCATTATACATATAAAAATATGCATGGATACTACAGCATTTTATACAACTATATATTACTTATATGCATAATGGCATGATCTTAGTTTTCAACTGATTGCTTAATTAAAAATTCTTCAAGGAAAAAAAGCTCCATTATTTTTTTGGTAGTACTGGGATTTGAACTCAGGGCATTGGAACTGCAAGGCAGGGGACTACCACTTGAGCCCCCTCCCAGCTTTTTTTTTTTTTTTTGGGGTGGGGGTAGAAGAGTGTTTCCTTATGTAGCCCAGATTGGTCTCTTAACTTGAGATCCTCCAGCCTGCCTCCTGACTGCTGAAATTATAGCTGTGTGCCACCATGCTTGGCTTGCTTCATTACTTTTAAAGGAAGCATATTACTTTTTGTTAGCATCTACCTACAGTCTAGAAATATTTGATGGTTTATGCACTATTTTTTTCAAAAACTCATCTTTTAGCATACATTAGTTGTATAGGGGTTGTGCTCTATTTTGCTAACACTGTTCATGACAATCTGTTCATGACTTCAACTTTGCATTATAAGAGAAATTTGTAGCTAATAATGTATTCAATAAAAAAGAAAAAAAATTTTTTTCAAATGCTTTTCACTGATAGTTAATCTATAAGCTTAATGTAACTATATATAATACAATTTACATATATAATACAAGATTATTTATTTTGTATTTTTTAAAACAAACTTTCTAACAAAGAAAGGGCAAAGAGAGTAATGTACTTTACCTTTATGGATGAAGCAGCATAGAGCATGTCTTCCAGGGTGAAATGGCAACACTGGTTCAAGTATTCTTGGCAAAATTCCTGAATTAGCTGCAGATTATACAGGCTATCGGCCAAAGACATGGTTTCTTTCAAACAAATGTCTTCAGATAGAAAAAAGGCAAGGTGAAAACTGTGGGTTAATTTGATGAACATTTCATACTCATGTTATAATTAGTGACTTAGCATAAACACACAACTATGTAGACTCTGTTTAACAAACATACATTTTCAAATATAGTAGTCATTACATAGAAACTATCTTCCTCAGAATTACACTTAACTGCTGTTTCTAAAATAGCTTTCACAATTTATTAAACACTGTTCTCTTAAATTTTTGTTGCCATTATCTATAGTTGAGAAAATGTCACTGGAATACTTACTTACCCTCTAATCTGACAACAGCAGGGCAGTAGAAGTGGATAAGGGCAGCTAAGGCACAGCCATCTGTGCCATCCTTCAACAGATTTTCTACGAGTGGAATGCAAGGCAGTTGCTTAAGCAATGTTTGCTCTTTCCTATAACGAGCCTACAGAAAGTGAGAGTGGAGAATGAGAGAGACGTTAAGTACTAAGCAACACACAGGAAGGAAATCAAGAATTGTAGACTTATGTATCAATAAGAAAACATAAACCAAGAGAAATGAAAAATTCTCACCAATATCCTTCTTTTCTAAATAATTCTACATATTGCTAAAGTTAAAAACATAAATACTTAATATATTTTATTATAAATTTACATGATTTAGCTCATATACTTAAAGAGCATCATAAAACAGATATAAACACTTTGTATCCACATCATCTGTTCATTTGTAGATTAAAATTCATCTCCTTTAGAGTTGGACTGAAAGTTGTTATACAGAAAGACTGAAGGTCTTTACATGGGTAAAGCAAAAGCATCATTTGGGCAGAAAGAATGACAAGAGTTATCAAAATGGGGTGGGGATGCAGGTAAAACAAATTTGGAGACAGAAACATCACTTTGAGAAACTCTAATCATAGCCCCAAGATATTCCATCTTATTGTTTGAAAGTTGAGATTTTGAAATGTTAACAACTTTGAAACTGAAAAAACTCTCCCAACCCAAGTTTTGCTAACCAGTAAGAGAGCAAATAAAGAGTTGTTTCTGCTCTCCCCTCAGAAAAACACAAGAGACCTTTAATTTCCAAAGATTGCTTGGTATGGCTGGATACAAGTTTTTCAGACAGCTCTCTAAAAACGAGACATGCTGGAGAAGTGGTCAAGAGGACAAACTCTTAAGTCAGATTACCTGGGTTCAGATCCCGGTTCTGCCATTATTAGCTTTGTGATCTTGGACAAGTTACTTAAACTCTTTTTCTCATTTTCCCCATCTGCAAAATGGGGATGGTAATAGTATCTACTTCAGAGAAACATGGGAGGATTAAATAGGTGATGGGCACAAAGTGCTATGCACACAGAAACAATCAATAAAGATTAGCTGTTATTAGCTAGTAGCCTTCCTAAAGCCAAGAAAAAAAGTATTGAAGACTTAGTGATGGTGCATACTAAAGTATTTTAGCAGAATTTATGATTATATAGGTTACTGATATTTAATGGTCATTTTTAAAAAAAGGTAACAAAAAATAATTTCCTTCTAATTCTACCTAGACTAATCATCTGTACATTCTCTAACTAAATACAATTATGTGAGAAAATACTTTTGTGAGAATGAAAATAGAAAAATTTAAATTTACTAAAAAGAACATTTAACATTTGGAGATAAAGTTAAATTTCTTTTAAATGACATCCTTCAGAATAACACAGGCATTATTAACTAAGATATTTCTGCTTGTCTCTCATTGGCTATCCAAGGACAAGACTCATGGTACATGTTTTCCTCCTGAAGATTTTGAGGAGCTTGTTCTTATTAACCCGTGCAAGCTAGACATCTGTATTTAATGGTACACTCCAACTCAAAGATACCTATACTCAGAAAATTACTTGCATTTGCTTCATGGATTCTTTGATTACTGATTTTTACATAATCTTTAGAAAACTTCCCCACATCTTGTTGCTAGGAAACAGCTTAAAAATCAACCATGAAAAGAGGAGGAGAGAGGGAAAAGGAGAGAGATCAGAAAGGCAAGAAAGAAAAGAGAAATCAACCAGTGGCATCTTCTAACCTTAAGCTACCTTTCCTGCACTTAACAAACACTGCTCCAGAACCTTATCTTCTTTTCTTTGGTCATGTGGAATCAAAACTAGACTGAACTCAGAGTCACGAACAAGAACTGAGTTGTGTGATTTGTTCTATGCCCTTCTGCCAAGTAGCACTTCTGGACAAGAGTGTGTGTGCGTGTGTGTTTAGAATAACAATTATGAGAGACATGCTAAATCCTTGGATACACACAACTCTAAATATGAGGTTATGTACAACTCTCAAGATAGTTCACCTATAGTTCATGAAGTTGTGAGACCCTTTTATACTTGAGTGTGCTATATGCTTTATCAACTCACTGAATGAAAACATTACTTTTCTTTCAACAAATTTGGAAATTTGGCATTCAAAAGGAGGGCCACATTTTCTATGTCAACATTTATGGTGTATTTCTGAATCATACTTTTATTACTTATGGTGTGAAACAGTTCTGACATGATTTAACCCCCCCAGACTTATCTTAAAATACCAATCCTTCAATTCAAACCAGAATTTAATACAGTTTAGGTTCAATACTGGTGAGGACACAGAGAATGTTTTTCTTTTTTTGTCACACAAAAAGTGTCCTCAGGCTGAAAAGAAAATGATTCAATCAAAAAGATAAAAATACCGAACATTTATACATGCAATTCAAATCGACCTTTACTAAAACTACTGAATTAATGAGACTACAACCATTAGGTTGTTTATATTGTTTGTTCTTTTATCTACTTATGGATGGTCTGTGTATATTATAAGATAAGCAAAAGGATACTCACTCTTTAAATAAATCATTTTTAAAACTTCTAATACAAACTTTGGCTAGATCTTTCTATTTTACACTATGATAAAATATTTTAAAATCCAATCTCTATTCAGTGACTAACAGAATTATATGAAATGACTATACCAGTAAGACCTAAACAATACCATTCTACAATCACAATTCCAGAGAACAAATTAAAGTAGCTGGGCAAACTTACTGGAACCAGTTTCCAAAACCATTTGGAAGGAGACTTCAGAGGAAGCGGCAGAAATAAAAGGCGGAAAGCAAAAGGTAAAGGGAAAATTCATCAGAATTATTTTCAATTAACAAATTATAGCAGAGCTGACGGTGGAGTTCCAAGTTTATGGGTCTCATGACATTTGCTTGTATGTCAATAGTTCAGTTAAAAAAACATACAGGTTTCTAATAATAAAGACTACCACCTGAGACTGTCCTCTCTCTTCTCCACACATAGAAATTCGTTTTAGGATACCTAGGATACACAGTATATTTTGGTAGCAAAGAATTTTATTTCTGAGATTTGAAGTCACATATTATACTAAAAAATACATCCATGTCACAAAACTAAAAAGATTCTAGCATTACATTTGCAGTCATAATTCTTAAATATTAGTAGCCCAAGTCTGATAAGGGAATATCCTTCATGAAGGAAAAAAGAAGAAAAATTATTCTGACAAATAAATGTATAAAGCAAATACCAATGTAGTAGAATTACTGAAAATATAAGGGTTAATAATTTTGCTATCTAAGGGGCATCCTAATTAAAAATGAATAACTCATAATCTCAGATAAAATTAATGGTTTGTAGTTATTTATCTTTGTATGTCCCAGAATAATTTCTGGCAGTTCTGAATAAATATTTGTTGAACCAAGCCAAACTAAATGGATCTAAATTAAAATTCACAAACAATTTTATGTATAAAGTTTTCCTAGATAAATTTACAGTAAAAATAAGATTATTTGGAAAAATTATATAAATTAGGTACTTTTAAGAACTTCAAGAACCAGAAAAATGTCATCTCAAGCATCAGGGAAATACTAGCTTTCCACAAATAGATAGCATTTCCAATAAATCTCTTTCCCTCTCTCACTTTTTCTCCTTTTCCCCTCCCCCCTTTGTGAGACAGGGTCTCTCCACATAGGTAGCCCAGATGCCCTGGCCTCAAACTCATGATCTGCCTACCTCAACTTCCTGGGTGCTGAGATTACAGATGTGAAGCATCATTCCCAGCTCCAGTAAATTTTCTTACAGCATCAGGAAGAAAGATTCCAATAATTTTGTTGCATGCATAACCTCCCATTTAATGGAAAGTTTTTGGCAGCTACAGTTAACAATAGCCACAAAAAGTACAAGAACAGAATCAGAGCAGTAAGCCACTGAAAATGTGTTGAGGTCCTCACTTTCTAACAGAAAATTTAAAAGCAGGCAGTTTCTTGTTTTCTCATTCAGAAGAACACAGCACAGAAACTGGTATTAAGGAATTACTGTGGACTATGTCTAACAGCAGGTGTATAAAGAAGTTTCTAATGGTCCAAGATATTCCTAAAATGTCCAGTAACTGAATTTTTTTAAAAACTAATTTAGGCTGACTGGCCTTTGATTCCCTATCCCCACCAGCCTAAATTGGTAGTAGCATCTTACTTTTAGAGAAAAAAGGAAAAACATATAGATTGGCCATTTGAAGGAAGCATGACAAAGAAAGTAATTTCCTAAAAGAACACATATTTATACTCTGTATACTTACAAACATAGGCTTCAAAAAGTTCAAATATATATAGCAAATTTCTTTGCTAAAGAAGTGATTAGCAGTCCCCTCCTTTTGTTTTCAGAAGATTTGGGTAGAATGCAACATAGTATCCTGTTTTAATGTATAAATAATGATGAGAACAAAGGGATTTTTAAAACCATGGATGAAGGTGAGACTTAACAAGTCTCTATTTATGGCAGGGACCAACCAGATTTTCTGCAAGAGTTCTAAGTTTAAGCATTGTTAATAATGCAAGTTTGGCTCACTCTAAACATGGTTAGTTGTTTTAGGACTTGTCATTAATACTCCCCAAATAGTTCTTTGTCTTCCTCTTGGTACCTACATTACTCTAGGAGATGGGATTATTTCTCAATTTTTTTTCTGGTTACTCTCCAGCCATTCTGGGAAGATAGTGGTTTGGTGGGATCTTTATTGGAGCCCTCAAGAAGTCGGGATCCTTCAAGGTTAGTCACACCTGTGGCTTGTCACTGCGTGACCCACTTAATCTTCTAGCTATTAGTTGTATAGGTCCAAAAGTTGTGTTGAATTGCTACTAGGAATATGAAATGGTACAAACTCCCTTGGAGCAGATTTTGGCAGTATCAAAATTACATATGCATTTACCCATCACTTTCATTTACCTGACTATACATAGCCAAGATCATAAAGTACATAAAGAAAATCGTTTCTTGCAGCACTATCTCTAATAAGATAATGGAAATTACTTAAATGTCCACACACAGGAAAATGGTTGAAGTAACTATGGTATATATATATGCAATGGAGTATTAAGCTACTATAAAAAAGACTGAGAAGGATTTCTATGGATTGTTT